CTTGTGGACAGCTGTGGATTCTGTTTACTCAGCATCCATTTCTCAAGCTCCTACACTTTCCCATTGTTTCCTTATTGTTATCACCTTTGCCCTCAAATACTGCTATCTCCCCAAAGACAGACTCCACCGAGCGGTTTCTCCAGTTGCCACTGTGCTTTTCACTAATACCCATTTACCTTTAGAATCAGCTTCTGCTGACTTTGGCTGTGAGCAGCAGACATTTAATTTCATCTCATGCAAAATAAATGTATCTTTTTAGGCTACAGTAATAGAAATAGCAGAGAAGCAGCTGACTGCCCGGAGCTCCAATGCTATCAGAATTCTCTCCTGTCAGGTGCCAAGCCGCTCGTGAGGGCACATGCCTGTCTCCCAGCTCCTTGGGAGCCTTAGGTGGGGAATTTAGTTGAGTCCAGGAGTTCAAGACCAGCCAGGACAACACAGTAAGACCACAGAAAGGGGGAGAGAGGGAGAGAAAGGGAGGGGGAAAGAGGAGAAGGGGAGGGGGGAGAAAGAGAAAAAGGGAAGAAGAGAAGGAGAGAGAGAGAGAGGCTGTTACTAAAATGTAGGACTCCTCTTTGGACCCCTCTCCAGATGGAGAGTTACTGCTTGTGTCACGGCTTTCCATGTTGTCGTTTTCGCTCGGCATCTAGCACTGACGTTGCAAGACAGCAAGGCTGTGTGCTCCCCATAACAGTCCTGTACACCCCTCTGGAAAGCAATTTGACAATCTGTCTTTACCACACTGACTCAGTCACGCTACATCTGGGACTCCATTTCCAAGAAATAAACATTTAAGCTGTGGCAGGTGTGAAGTACCCGCACTCAGGAGGCAGAGGTGGGTGAGCCCAGGAATTTCAGACCAGCCTGGGCAGCATAGTGAGGCCTCATCTGGCTAGTGGGGGGGGGGAGCACGGAGGGATCCTAGCTAGGAAGGTGACATCTGAGGATCACAAGTCAAAGCCAGCCTGGGCAACAAAATTTGACTTTTTTTTTTGCCAGTCCTGGGGCTTGAACTCAAGGCCTGGGCGCTGTCCCTGAGCTTCTTTTGCTCAAGGCTAGCACTCCTCCAGGAGCCATTTCTGGCTTTTCTGTTTTTTTTTTTTTGGGGGGGGGTCCGGTCATGGGGCCTGAACTCTGGGCCTGGGTGCTGTCCCTCAGTTCTTCACCTCAAGGCTAGCACTCTACCACTTGAGACACAGCGCCACTTCTGGCTTTTTTCTTATGTGGTGCTGAGGAATCGAACCCAGGGCCTCGAGCATGCGAGGCAAGCGCTCTACCACTGAGCCACTTTCCCAGCCCCATTTCTGGCTTTTTCTATGATACTGAGGAGTCAAACCCAGGGTTTTATGTATGCTAGGCAAGTACTCTACCACTGAGGCACATTCCCAGCCCTGTGAGACTCATCTCCAATAAACTACCAAAAAAAAAACAAAACAAAAAAAAACCCTGAAGCAGAGGGATGGCTCAAGTGGTAGAGTGCCAGCTTTGAGCAAAAAAGCTGAGAAACAACCTGCAGACCTTGAAGCCCAGTGTAGACACAGACATAACACACATTCTAGAAAGGCACAGGAACAAGGAAGAAATTAAGATCAGAAACCTTTTGAGGACGGTGTAGTCTGCCCAGGTTTTCATGCAATACCAGCTGTGGCTTCACACTCACAGTTCGGGAGGCTGAAGTCTGAGCCCAAGGCGCCAGCACAGCCTGATCCTCTTCCTGCCCTGCACGCTGCCAGCACCTTGCCAGGTCCTCGTGGGGTAGAGCTGTGCTGCCTCTTCCTAGGCCCACCATGGGAAACAGACACCAACAACTCACGCCTGTACTCCTAGCTACTCAGGAGGCTGAGATCCGAGGATCACAATCGAAGCCAGCCTGGGCAAGAAACTCCCTGAGACTCTGAGCTCCAATGAACCTCCAAAAAACTGGAAGTGGACTTGTGCTCAAGTGGTAGAACACCAACTTTGAGTGAAAAAGCTCCAAGACAGCACCCAGGCACTGAGTTCAAGGCCTTCTAGAGCATGGAGGGGTGGGGGGAAGGGTGTGGTCACCATCCCACCCTACCCTAAGGCCCTCCCAAAGCCTACTTACCTCCTCCAGATGGCCCATCTCAACTAGCACATTAGCTGTTACCGCTTTATTCTCAACTTGAAAACACAGGCCAGTCCTCAACAAAATGTTAGAATACATTTACTAAGAGGCCCGAGAGCCAGTCATCTTTATTCCTGGAGGCCCATGGGGACTCTCTGCGGGTGAGGAACAGGCACCCTGGATGAAGGCCACCCTGGCCTGAGAGTGATGGCCGGAGCTGCTGCTGGAGCTGAACCCCTTGGTGCCCAGAAATAACCAGACTCCAAATAACTGAAGCCAGGGCGCATTCAAGAGCATCCTGGGGCTCAATTGTTGCTACCCCATCTTGACAAGACCCAGTGCTGTTCTGGCTTCACCTCTTAGACCTTCCTTGGCTGGGTACCAGTGGCTCATGCCTATAATCCTCGCTACTTAGGAGGCTGAGACTCTTATCTTTAACCAGCAAGAAGTCAGAAATGAAGCTAAAGTGGTAGAGTGTAAGCCTTAAGAGAAAAAGATGAGGGGCAGCACCTAGGCCCTGAGTTCAAGGCTCACAATTCACACACACACACACACACAAACTTCTTTTCCCTAAAAATGAACCATTTGACCCAACTGTCAAGAACAAGTAGCAATTAGTTACTTGTAGGCCACCTATGCAATTGTCATTTATTAAAAGGACACCTGCCACTTGTGTACTTTTCCCCATGGGGACCATGTCTTCAGTTGGGAAGCATTTCATACCCAGCATTGAAAACAGAGTCCTGATGAAACGGCTGTGATGAAAGCAGATAACAAAGGCATCTTACGATCAGTGGATCCTGGACTTGGTGAGATAGTTAATATATGAAAAATGAGTAGTCAAAATGAGAAGTGGCAGAGAAGCACTGGTGAAACTGGCATGATTATATCAACGACACTGAAACTGGCCAGGCAAGGCACCACTCATGAAAACTTTTTTTTATTCACTCAGTCCCTAAACACAGGTGATTTCTCGAGGTTGCTCACAGTGCGGAGGTGGAGGCCGCTGCCTGCCAGCACCGGCAGCCCCGCCCCACGCACAGCCAGACCCCACTTTCCTTTGGGCCCTGTCCTGGGCTGCAAGCTCAGCTGAAAATAAGTGTAATTCAGAATCCAGGTCGAATGCACTGAAACAAGGACAGTCTGCAACAGGGAGGAGAGAGTTTACAATTCTTCACAAATGCTTTCTTATTTACAAGTTTCAAGCAACTATGGCACATTACAGAGTTCAAGAAAATTCACTCTGGGCAGCAGATCTGGAAGCCCAGGTGGTGCTGTGAGGAGCCATCTCACATGGCCTGAGCCCAGCCCAGCTCACCACATCTGCACCCGTGCCCTCCAAAGTGGAGGAAATGGCAGGAACAGCGCCAGGCACTGCAGCGGGCCACTGAGCACACAGGCATCCGCTCCTAGTACCGGTGTAAGACATGAGACGACAGCATCTGGGGCTGTGAAACCTGCGGGATCTTAAAACCCATCTGGTAGCTAAAGGAGCGCCCGAGTTTATCAAAACAGCAGGACTGCAAACTGACCAACCCAGCTGTTTCAGATCAACAGCCCAGCTAGCTTCAACTACTGAGAGGGTGACGGGCCACTAAGGATCCAAGGGGACTCTCCAACTGCTGGGGCGCAACACACACTTCCTTCCCCTCCATGTTCAGCATGCCTGTGACACTGTGCTCACACCCCGACCCATGTTTCTGAGTGTCCCCAGGTGCCACTGCTGGAGGGAGATCACCTCTTGCAGGCTTTGGTTTTGTCTCTGCCTCCAATGGCCAGCTTTGGCTGAGGCCTCAGGGTGGACTCTTTGCCTGCCTCCCCCATCCAAAACTCAAGGCAAGTGTTTTGCTAACAAGACAGTGGCTCATAGGGGACATGGTGGCTGCTCTTGCATGCTGGGTCACAGTCAGGCCAGACTCTCTAGGACCAAGTGCCCACAAAACTGTCTTTCCCGGCTCCTGATGAATGGGAAGGGGGGAATCGGAGTTTCCATGAAGCTGTCACAAGTCACTAAGGCTGTGTACCTAAGGGGCACATGGACTTGGCGATTACAGGGAGGCACGATCAGAGGCCACGTCAGATTCTACGTATTAGCATGCTGGAAGCCACAGGCATAGCTAGAGGTGAGCAAGTTTGCGCTCAAAGCACTGAGTCTGCTAATAAAAAACAACTCCAAGCCAGATGCTAGTGGCTCACACCTGTAATCCTAACTACTTAGGAAGCTGAGATCCGATGATTGCAGTTAGAAGCCAACCTGGGGAATAAAGTCTGAGACTCATCTCCAATTAACGATCAGAAAACCAGAAGTGGTGCTGTGGGGGCTGGGAAGGTGGCTCAGTGGTAGAGCGCTTGCCTTGCATGCCTGAGGCCCTGGGTTCGATTCCTCAGCACCACAAAAAGAAAAAAGCCGGAAGTGGTGCTGTGGTTCAAGTGGTAGAGCGCTAGCCTTGAGCTGAAGAGCTGAGAGACAACGCCCAGGCCCAGAGTTCAGGCCCCACAACCAGACCAAAAAAAAAAAGGAGTGGTGCTGTGGCTCAATGTGGCAGAGCACTAGCCTTGAGCAAAAGGGCTCAGGGACAGCGCTCAGTTCTCAGAACTCAACAATCCCCATGACCGACAAAAACACTCTGGACATCTTCAGAGGTGTCTCTTAATGGACAGAGACAGAATCAAGTCCCCCCTTCTTATTTCTTCCCCTTCCTCCAGGGGGCCTAGGCCCAGCCTCTGTGCAGCAAGGTGGCCCTGGGCATTTTGTCCTTCTGAGAGCAGCCCTCCCCTAGGAGGCGCAGAGAGCTGGGCCGGGCCAGGCCGGGCCCTCTGACTTGCCTTAGGCAGTACTCACAGGGGGGGCGGCTTGAATTCAAGGGGAACCAATGGCCCTGGGTCCTCACCCCTTTCGAGCGCTCTCGGGGTGCTACCCTGCGTTCTCCATCTTCACCCGAGAGAGAAAACAGTGCAGTGACCGCCCAGGGCCTGGCTGGTCCAGGCCTCCGGGCTGCCCGTCGCCGGGGGGCGCGCGGTGGTCCTGCGCCCTGGTGGCCTGGGTCCCACCCCCGGGTGGGGCGGGAGGGCCGCCGGGGGGTCGTCCCCACGCGGCGTCGGCGAGGAGGCCCGCGGGCTCGGGGCCGGGGGCGCCCTTCTCGCAAGCCACGCAGGCAGCGGCCGCGCGGCCGGCATGGCTGCCCTGATGGCGCGCGAGCCACGAGCGGCAGGTGAAGCTCTTGCCGCACTGGCCGCAGGCGAAGCGCTTCTCCTGCGAGTGGCCGCGCAGGTGCCGCAGGAAGCTGGGCTTGTGCGCGAAGCAGGCGCCGCACTGCGCGCACGGGAAGGGCTTCTCGCCCGTGTGCGTGCGCCGGTGCTCCACGAGCGTGGACAGGCGGCCGAAGCGCCGGCCGCACTGCGCGCACGGGAAGGGCCGCTCGCCCGTGTGCGTGCGCCGGTGCTCCAGCAGCGTGGACAGGCGGCCGAAGCGCTTCCCGCACTCAGAGCACTCGTAGGGCTTCTCCCCGGTGTGCGTGCGGTAGTGCGTGGTGAGCGTGGACTGGTGGACGAAGCTCTTGCCGCACTGGGTGCAGGTGTAGGCCCGCGGCGGCGCCTTGCGCGGGCGCAGCTCGCTGGCCACGC